ATCATTGATTTTCCTCATCAGGTCTTAAGTTTTATGAATTCAATATCCTAATTATCTCTAATTTCCTCCCTCATTTCTGTTTATTCCTACTCTATTATTTTGATTCAGGTTTTTATCATTTCTTATGGAGAGTTCTGGAATAGTCTACCTATACTTCTAGCTTCTGGTTGTTTTTCTCCATACTAATCTCACAGAAATCTTTTGTCAAGGTAGTGTAATTCTACACTCCTCTGCTGGTTGGCTCTTCTTGCCTCTAGGATAAAATCCAAACACTTGTGCCTGGCTTGCAAGCCTCCTTAGATCTGACTTCTGCCTTCTAACACTCAGAAACATTTCAGTCTTGCAGCTTTATGCATTGCTTGCAGTAGCTCACCCGAAATACCGGATCCTCTTCTTGCTTTCCTAACTTATCATAAACAAACATTATTGTTGTAATATTGTGTAATGATTGAAAGTATAAACTTTAGAGCTAGACTTCCTGACTACATCTTGACTTCACCACTTAACCAGGGTGTGATCTTGGACAAAGCATTTTTCTGTGCCACAGTTTCCTCATCTCTAAAATGGGTCATTGTGCCTCACAGTTAGTAGGTCTGTATAGTAAGTTAATTCACATATGTGTTCAGCAATTGTAAGTTACCATTATTTTTATATATTATGCCATGCAGTTTCTTTTGGCTTTACACTTGATCTCTTCTACCCATTCTCTCACTTTCTTTTATCTATCAACTCCTACTCATTCACCCATCATATCTTCATCTTTATATCTAGCTCCTCCAGAAAGCCATCATTGAAATCCCCCAGAGTGCCCTTTGCAGTGTATTTAAACCATGAATAACTCAAGAATTTCCAGGGACTGCGTTTTCATTTCTGAATGGTTAATGAATGAAACTTGATTGCTTTGTTTCTTATTTGCTGTAGATTGAGAAGCCAATTAGAAAGGGGACAAGTAAGTAGACATCTCATAAGAAGACTGAAAGGGAAAAGGAAAGGAACACAAGAGAGCAAAATAATCTATAATAGTTTTCAACTTTTCAGTGAAGGAGCAAACAATTTAACAAATAGCAGTGTAGCTCTGTAAGTATCATTGTGCATAATTAAAACGCTATGAGGATATCCTTTTAAGTCATCCCAAAGGTTAAGTTATGTTGAGTATCCTTTACTTAAAAGCAAGAAGAAAAAGATAAACACTTGAAAAATATTTCTTTTAAAATTAGTTGAAATAAACCTTGGCAATTAAATAGGTAAACTTTAGTTATTTACCATTGTTCAGCGGTTCATTCCTCCTTGGGCTACCTGACTGATCAGTACACTCGCATAATTAATTCTGACTATTGAATATACGTGATCTGTGGAGGAAAAAAAAAGTTAAGGCTAAGGAAGTGAATTTATAGCAGTTAATCAGAGTACTGTTAAAATGCACTGTTTACTCAGTTTCTAACGTCTACATTTAATATTTGCCATCAATCCTTCTAAAGGGAAATGATTAGAAACAGTTAAGTTCAACAGATAAGTAAACATTAGAAAAATGCTGAAACCCTTTCAAAATTATTTATTTAAAAGAGAACTTTCTGAAGAACTTCTGCCAGCAATATAAAATCCTAAGAATTATGATTTGCTTAAAGAGATATTAAATTAAAACACTATATGCAGAAGTCCATGCCAAGGCACAATATGTATTTTTAAAACTTAGGACAGTATTTGTAGAATTGTTGGGCTTAACCATTGCACACAGTAGCATAAAGAGGTAGGGGAAAGTTAAGTTGTTGACCTAACAAATTAGTTTCAGTGGATTCATCTTAGAACATTTTAAAAACTCAGGTACTAAGGATATGATATAGTGCCCCTTTGTAGAGCATAGTAGTTTGTACCGTAAAAACTTACAGAAGAAATAAACATAATTACCTTCTCTGAGTTTATATTCATATAGGAGGCAAAAGACCCTTAAAAATGGAAGTATTTAAGTGTCCCAACAGATAGTCATATAAACATTAGCATTTGTACTTTAAAAAAATGACCTAGAGTAATCATATTTCTGCTATTCAAACTCAAAATAATGAGTTTGAAGTATGCTCAGTGAAATTTTAATAATATGAAATTAACTGATTTTACTGGTTGTACTGCTGACTGACCCCACGTTCTTTTTTCCCTTCTCGTTTTAAGGGTAAAAGAACAAATGGTGTAATTGATTTATCTAAACGCCCAATAAACCTCAAGGGGTAATAGATGCGATGCTTTGCATGCGGAGGGTGTTAGAGGCTTTGTACTCGGGAGTATCTAGATTTTATTGGATGGGGAGGGCGGGGGCGGGGGAGAGGGGGCGGCGGGGGGAGGGGGGGGCGGGGGAGGAGGGGCGGGGCGGGGAGAGGGGGGGGCGGGGGAGAGGCGGGGCGGGGGAGAGGGGGGGGGCGGCATCTGAAGCACAGAGCATAGCGGAGCAGCAGGCACAGAGAGAAGTAGACCTTCTGCTGCACCACATGCGCTCTAGCTCCATGCCCCTTTATGGGGGCTAACTCCCACGCTTCTTGCGGGTAGCTCCCTGGCCGGGGCTTGAACTCAGGCCGCAGCGGTGAGAGCGCTGAGCCTAACCCCTAGGCCATCCTGGAGGCCCCGCCAAGGGCTTAGTTAAATGGAGCCTTTAACCTTTATTAGGAGGCTTCAGGAGAACTACTGACAGCTGCTTCTCCAGCAAGTCAGAAGAGACTACGGCTGCCCTTCCCTTCCCTCAGTGATCATCACTGTCTCCTCCTAGGGCCCGTGGACGCTGAGGGAAGATGGCTTTCAGCTGGCACCTCCATGTCTTCATCGGTGACAAGACAGGGGCAAAGTATGGGGATTTTTCAATTCTAAAACAAGTATTTTTCATTGATGAATCAGAAGAAAAACCTACACAGTTCAGAAAGTAATCAGGATTGTACTGATCCTGAAAGATTTCTTTGGTGATGATCATGTGTAAAATCAATATTTAGAAGTTTCTAGAGATTTAAGTATGCAGACTTCTGATGTCCTCATAGAATAATGAATGCTCTTAGCGAGCTGAAGAGACTCAAAAAAACAAAGTAAATAACCCGGTCACAAAATGGGCAGAAGAGCTAAAAAGAAACTTCTCTGAAGAGGAAATGCAAATGGCCAACGGGCATATGAAAAAATGTTCAACATCACTTGCAATCAGGGAAATGCAAATCAAAACTTCCATGAGATACTATCTCACACCAGTGAGAATGGCACATATTAAAAAACTAGCAACAACAAATGTTGGCGAGGTTGTGGAGAAAAAGGAACTCTCCTGCACTGCTGGTGGGAGTGCACACTGGTCCAACCACTATGGAGAGCTGTGTGGAGATTTCTGGACCTACTAAACATAGAGCTTCCATATGATCCAGCAATTCCACTCCTAGGTATTTACCCAAAGGACACAGAAACATCAATTCCAAAGAGCACCTGCACCCCTATGTTTATAGCAGCACTGTTTACAATAGCTAAGCTTTGGAAACAGCCCAAATGCCCAAAAATAGATGACTGGATCAAGAAGATGTGGTACATATACACCATGGAATATTACTCAGCATTCAAAAAAGATAAACACATGCAATTTGCAGCAACATGGATGGAGCTGGAAGGGATCATGCTCAGCGAAATAAGCCAGAAAGAAGACGAAAAATGCCAGATGGTCTCACTCATAGCAGGAATCTAGAAACCAGCAAAGCACCTGTAGTCCATGACCTTAGTCTGTCCTTTGCACTTGTTTTCTTCACGTTGTATAGAAGAAATGGATTAAGTAGAAGAAGCCATACATTTCTGGGCATTAAAGAATAGTTTGAGTGGTTGTTCAGAATCATCTTGGAAGGTGCAGTGATTTATCTCCCCATATCCTCCGATATTTCTTAGCTCGTAAGTGTCTTCTAGTACCACCGTCTCTTCTCCCATCAGAATATATTCTGTTTGCCTTCCTTGCTCCTAGAAGCTGCCCAAGGACATATGACAATATTCTAAGATCTTTCCAGGCCCTCCATGGATGGCAGTGGTTTCATTTCACACTTAAAAAAATCTCCTGAGGTTGTGACCTGAGAGGTCCCGGCTTGGGGGATCGTCCACAGACCACGGCTGCTGTAATGATGCTCTCTTCAGGATCGGTAACACAATGCCCTAGGGACACCAGGTGACTGCAGGTCTCCAGCATCACATCCTGGTACAGGGTGCGCTGAGGTTCACTGAGGCACTGCCACTCCTCCCAGGTGAAGTTCACAGCCACGTCTTAAATGACACCGTCCCTTCTGAGGGAACATTTCTCATCTCAGGGCCGGCAGCCTGAGCCCGGCCTCCCGGGACAAACCCCATGCTCACCTCGGGGCGCCCCGTGTTGATCTCTTTCAACAGTGAAATTTCAAAAGCTTGATAGCGGAAGCCATGCCCTGTATTAGCTTATAAATGTTAAGTAATCACTTGTTCTCATTTTCACTCCTTTGTAGCCCTTTCTCCCGCTTTTCCCCCCAAGATCTTCGATTACTCTCTTAACCTTATTTTGTGGATTTTCTTTTCTTTCTTTTCTTTTTTTTGGTAGCCTCATTTATACAGATTTCTAGAGTTTGCTATTAGTTTGACTTTATCTGACCTTTTGTTTTTTCTCTATGCTACATGTAAGTGACATCATCCAGGATTTGTCTTCCTCCTTCTGATTTATTTCATTTAGCATAAACCCTTCCAA